GTGGGGTCGCGGCCGCGGCGGCGCGCTGGTGCCGGGGTCGGCCACAGGCCCCGCGCGGCCCTCCCCTGCGGCTCGAGGCCCTCGTCGCCCGTGGCTCGCCTCCACTCTGGCCTCTCGTGCTCGCGCTCCGTCCTGCTCTGCGCCGGCTCGCGCTCGCCCCCCGCTCTGGACTCGTCCACGGCGCCGCCGTCGCTCGACTCCCCCTCGTCAGAGAAGGAAGAGCCACCCCGTTGGCCGAACGTCTCCCATCCCTGCAGCTGCATGTACGACCTGCCCCATGACGTGTCCGCGAACGTGACCCTCTTGGAGTTCACGTCGGCGGAAGAGCTGAGCAACTGCAAGCGGCCTTGGCATCCTGAAAGCATCGGCGTCGAAAATCTTCTGCAAGCGAAAATTGGCGCAACAGGGTACTCAAGGCCAAAGGCTTCGAGCCAAAGGCCGAGCAGAAATGGCTACGAATGGCATTCCATGGTTAACGTTTGGTGGTAATGCCTAAGGAGCTCTCGACAACGAGACGCATAATTTGAAAAGCATCGTCCCCCGCCCTTGCACTTGTTGGACAGTCTGAGATACCTGAACGCAATGAGCAAAGACATGGCAATCGAAAACTATGTATTGAACTCCACCTTGAAAACTAATCGCCCTCCATCCGTGTAGCTGTCCTGCACCTCTAAGACGAACTTGCGCCGCGCTATGGCGACGACCACACTATGGAAAAAACAACGCCCTCCATCGTGAGAATCACACCGGATCGACCCGTGCCGCTGGTGGGAACGTTTGAAGCGAGTGCTCGCTCGCCTGGGCAAGAACCGCATTTGAAGTCGAACTCCCCCACCATCCATGTACCTCTCGGACACTTCAAGACGAATGTGCGCGGCTCGAAGACGAGACCTACACACATGAAGCATGCCCCTCCAGTTGTAGCTGGTGCAAACTTGTAAGTTCGGGGACATATATATATATATATATATATATATATATATACATAGGTGTGTGTGTGTATATATATATATATTCAGATACATATATCTACATATATCGGGGCGTCTCTTGGGAAGTCTCTCGGAAGCCAGCCCAGGGCATTCGAGGAGGCGTCTAGATGTCTCTGGATGCCTCTTGGTGGTGCTTGGAGGGCCCGCTGTGGGCCTCCTGGGGGCACCCAGGGCCGTCTTGGAGTTTCCTGCTCGGGGCATCCTGGGCGGGGGGGGGCCAGGTGAGGAGGCCTCGGGTCTGGAGATGTGAGGTCGAGTTGTCTCTCCCGCAGCCTTTCAGGGACCACCTTGGGGCATTCTTGGCCTACCTTGGGGCCGTTTTGGGAGCCTCATGGGTCGGCGTGAAGCGATCGCGGAGGCCTCTGGGGAAGCCAACGACGGCGCTCCGCGCGCAGAAGCCAAAACGTGATGAAGACGCACGCTTCCTGAGGGGACGCAGCGGATCTCGCCTCGAGGGGGTCTGGTTGGAAGCGTTTGAAAGGCCCCGGAAGGCCTTGGCCACCTGTGGTCGTCGTCGGACGCTTCTGGGATGCGTCTGGGGCCACCAGAGGGCCTTCGTGAAGCGTGCGGCCACCTGCCGAACCGCTTCGGGCTCGGCGGCGACATTCGGCAGGGACCCCTCCCAGAGGGCGACCAGGGGGTCCCTGGGGTCGGCGGCAGGGGGGGTCCGAGCAACGACGGGAAGATACTGGAGAACCACTTCCTCCTCCTCCTCCTCCTCCTCCTCCTCCTCCTCCTCCTCCTTCATTCGATGACTCCCAGCGACAATCACGTTCTCGGACAACTCGTGGAACACATTATGGCTGCGGCCGTGAAACATCCTTTCCTCGGGCTGGCGGCGTCAATCACGTTCCCGCAGGCTTTTCCAGGAACGCGATGGTTGCGGCCGTGTCGGGGCCCCCTTGGAGGCCTCTGTAAGGCCCTGCGGGATGTCGATGCTCAGTTGGGGGGGCCGTCTTGTGAAGTGTCTTGGCCGCCTCCTGGGCTCGTTTAGCGTTTCGAGGCTCCTTTGGGGGGGCCGTTGTGGGGCATCCTGGGCCAGATTGGTCGTCTCGTGGGCCGCCTTGTCGCCCTATTGGGATGCTTCTGTTGCAATCCGGGGAGCGTCGTGGGCAGCGTTGGAGTAACGGCAAGCAGCGCCACAACAACGGGGAAAGTGTCGAACAACTCATGGTCCGATGACTGCTGGCGGCAATCACGTTCCCAGAAAACTCTCCAAGAACCTGATGGCTGCGGCCGTACAAGGGGCCCTCGCGGAGGCCTCCGTCGGCCCTTGACAGGGTGTTAGGGCTTATTTGGGGGGCACTGTGGGGCTCGGCTCCTCGGCCGCGCGTTCGGGTGCCCTCTTGGGCTATGTTGGGGCTCTCTTGCGCGCCTTTTTTGCCGTCGAAGTGGGGCAGGCGAGGTATCAAATGGAACAACGCTGGATGAAAAAAGGCTATATCATGGCTGAATCCGGAGTCAGAACGGGTATCATAGGAACGGGGGGAGAAGAAGAATCAGAGTTGAAGTCCGGTCTTGGCGCGATCAATGATGATGACGCTCCTCCGTGGTTGAATCGGGCTCAAAAACTCCCCCCCCTCGAGAAAGGGAGGAGGGAGGAGGGAGGAGGGAGGAGGAGGGAGGAGGGAGGAGGGGAGGGGAGGGGGGGGAGGGGGATGGGGGGGGGGGAGGGGGGAGGGGGGAGGGGGGAGGGGGAGGGGAGGGGGGAGTAGGGGGGATCGGGCTCAAAAAACTCCCCCCCCCCTCGAGAAAGGGGCCCCGAGACATCGGGGGCCAGCCGACTCACAAAATAAAGCGCGGTCGGATGCCTGGGGGGACTCCTCCTGCTCCTCCCCTCTCCAAAAGTCGCGTCACTGCAGGCAGAGGTGGGAACTCCTCCTCCTCCTCCTCCTCCTCCTCCTCCTCCTCCCCCTCCCCCTTCCTCCCCCTCCCCCCTCGCCCTCCTCCCCTCCTCCTCCTCCTCCTCCTCCTCCTCCTTCTCGCCTCCTCCTCCTCCTCCTCCTCCTCCTCCTCCTCGTACTCCTTCATCCATCCATTTTGGGCGCCCGAATTATCCGGGGTAACTCGGGTCCGGGGTAACTCGGGTTCGGAATCCCGAAAAAGGAACCCGAGTTAGCCCTGACCCGGGTTACCCCCGATGATTCGGGGCTCTGACCATTTGCCTTATACATATTTCGCTCAAGCCAAGTCAGAGCGCATCATGACTCACGACTGCAATCCTCAACTCAAACAACCCTTCTGCTGGGTCGGCCGAACATGACAACGCGTGAAGGCAAGCGACATACCGACCTCGCCTAAGCGCCACGCAGCTTGTGACTGGAACTGGCAGTGACGTATGTTCACGGCAAGCGCCGCGCAGCTTGTGCGCAAAAGTGGCAATGATGTATGAGCGCGGGGCACGCTGCGTCTTCGCCGCGCCAATCGAAAGTGTTTCCGCTCCAGCCCATGCGCGGCCCGCGTAGTTTTCTTCGCCAAATCTTCGGAAGCGGTGCCGCGCGCGAACACCTTCCGTTTGCGAGGTGGGAGCGCGTTCCAATCCCAATGCCAGTGTGTGCCACAACTGATTCTTAGTTTGATTCAAACGATGGCTTGTTACTATCGAGGGGTCGCGAAGCGAACGCTGAAACACATATGCTTCCCTTCTGTGCATCTGCGGTCTGGCGAAGACGGGCGGTATCAGCGCGACGCCAATGAGCGTCGCGGACTCAAGCATTTGACTTGGACGCTCGCCGAACAACGCTACCTGGAAAGTGACCCTCTGCAACTGATCACAACGCTCGAAGGGGTTGCACGAGCACGCGGGCTTCGCTTCGGCTGAGAGTTTTTACTGACAGTTGCCCCATCCTGATAAACCCATCTCCCTCTTCCAACTTATGACCCTTCGTCTTCGCCTCATCGTCGCCATGCCAATCCGATTCCCTCGCCTCCCATCATGCCTCGGGGATGGACAGACCCCCCTTTAGTAAAACGTGGTTTAGTGAAAACGACCTGAGGCCCAAACCTGGCGGGCGCAGGCCTGGAAAATAACGGCCACGGCGCCCTCTCGAGAACCGAAAACGGACAATTCACTAATCGACGTGTCACTGTTGGGGGTTCTGTCCAGCCCCGAATGCCCCTCCCCCCGAGTCTCGCGCCCTGCGATGCTTGTCCGGCAGGGGAAAAGGGCGCGAGGGTCCGGGGATGAGGTGTTGTGGGAGGGAAAGGGGTTTGAGGGGAAGGTGGCGTCGGGGTTGTGTGAAGGGGCCCCAGGACACACAAATACATACACGCAAAGAAAAGGATTCCCCATATTGTCTTATAGTTTCTGGGTTTTGTCTTCCCCCCCACTTCCCATAGTTTCAAATATTTTCTGTGGAATCGACGAATAATTTTGTCTGTGTTTTTTCTCTCCTCCTGATTGTAGGATGACTGGGGGACGAAAGGTGCAACGGTTGCTCGCTCTCACGACGAATGCTTCGCGGCGAGGAGCGGGCACCCCATTCTGAAGACATCCCACTCGTCCACCTCCTCCTCTTTCTCCTCCTCCTCCTCCTCCTCCTCCTCCTCCTCCTCCTCCTCCTAGGTGGCTTACGCGCGGGCCCCGCAGGCATTTTGCCCTCGGCCCCTTGCAACAGTTGCTAATTTCAGAAAACGCGAATGCGCGTGGCGCTCAGACGAGCACGCCATTCAGAGCACGACTTCCCCCCCTTTCGAGTACCTGCTGCAATCCCCAACCCTCAGGGCCATGTACGAAGAGGAGGTCTCGGACGAAACGCCGGGCCTGCCCTGCCGACGCGCCTGGGTGTGCGACAGGGCTGGGGGATGGAGGTAGGAGGACGGGGGGGACGCGAGCTCAAGATGCATCAGCGATGCTGCAGTGCACCCGCACGCCCACCAGCCGCATCCGCATAACCCCGTGCAAGAATTCCCCTGCACAGCGGGGAGCGCTTCCTTGACAGATGAGCGCCCCATTGTTTTACAGCTCGAGCGAGAGAGACCCCCGCTTGAAAAGGAGTTGCCCCCCCCCTTCTTTCTTGCGAGGCGGTATAGGATTACAGAGCCCCCAACAATGTGCAGCGACATGCCCGCTTGAGAACGAACCGTTCTCAACCCGCGTGGACGCTCTCCATTTTCTGAAGAGACCTCGGCCATGGTGCATGGTATCGGCCTCGCGGCGCAGGGATGCCAAGCGTCGCTGTGCAAGCCTCGTGGCACTCCAGACTGGAGCGCGAAAACCATGCCGCTCGAGAGAAAAATTGCCAACACCCTTGCACGCGAAAATACGGCAAGACGCCAGTGTACGTCTTCTGTACCCCTTTGAGCGGATCGCCGAAACCATTCTGAAGCATGAGCGAAGGGGTGGCGCTTTGCACCAACAAATTCGTCAAACTCGCTCTCGCCCGCCCGCGCCATGTGCTGGACCGCGGCGCGGGTTCGGGGCGGCGCAGGACCGCCCTGCGTGCTAAGTCACCGCTGAGGCGACGAGGGACACTCCAGCACAATACTAATTAAATTGGCCTCTATCTTGAGCGAGGAGCAGGGGGGCGAAGTGACAATGCGGGAGGCAACTTCGTCGATTCGCATGTCGCAGCGCTGCGCAGCTGTACTCTCTGACGCCGCAAACTTATAACCACAAATGGATGGCGCGATGGCGGGGCGACCGCGCAACCCGAGACTGTTGGCACACTGGGGCAAGCCCGCCTGTATCTTGGGGCAGTGCGGGAGGCAGTGGATGCCACTCGCTGACGCAGCATGCTCATATAAAATGGGTGGCTTGAGGGCAGGATGCCCGCGCCACTCCACCGAAGGCCGACTGCAAACGTGGAGGACACCCCACGAAAGCACTAATAGAGATGCGCCCTGCTGTGCTGGACGTGCGCCTCTCCCTGCCACGCACCACTCCCGGAGGAGCTCCCCGCTCGGTGGCGGCGGGCAGGCGGGCCGCGCACGGACGGCGAGGTGGCCCTGGGCCTGCCGCGATGGCCACCCCGAGGGCGCCGCGCTCAGCGCGCGTCGACTGCCTCGCGGATCCCCGGCGGCCGCCGCGGCGCCACCACTGCCGCGGCCGCGCGGCGACGCGCGCTGGACGCGGCCCGCCCCTGCCGCGCGGTGGGGTCGCGGCCGCGGCGGCGCGCTGGTGCCGGGGTCGGCCACAGGCCCCGCGCGGCCCTCCCCTGCGGCTCGAGGCCCTCGTCGCCCGTGGCTCGCCTCCACTCTGGCCTCTCGTGCTCGCGCTCCGTCCTGCACTGCGCCGGCTCGCGCTCGCCCCCCGCTCTGGACTCGTCCACGGCGCCGCCGTCGCTCGACTCCCCCTCGTCAGAGAAGGAAGAGCCACCCCGTTGGCCGAACGTCTCCCATCCCTGCAGCTGCATGTACGACCTGCCCCATGACGTGTCCGCGAACGTGACCCTCTTGGAGTTCACGTCGGCGGAAGAGCTGAGCAACTGCAAGCGGCCTTGGCATCCTGAAAGCATCGGCGTCGAAAATCTTCTGCAGGCGAAAATTGGCGCAACAGGGTACTCAAGGCCAAAGGCTTCGAGCCAAAGGCCGAGCAGAAATGGCTACGAATGGCATTCCATGGTTAACGTTTGGTGGTAATGCCTAAGGAGCTCTCGACAACGAGACGCATAATTTGAAAAGCATCGCCCCCCGCCCTTGCACTTGTTGAACAGTCTGAGATACCTGAACGCAATGAGCAAAGACATGGCAATCGAAAACGATGTATTGAACTCCACCTTGAAAACTAATCGCCCTCCATCCGTGTAGCTGTCCTGCACCTCTAAGACGAACTTGCGCCGCGCTAGGGCGACGACCACACTATGGAAAAACAACGCCCTCCATCGTGAGAATCACACCGGATCGACCCGTGCCGCTGGTGGGAACGTTTGAAGCGAGTGCTCGCTCGCCTGGGCAAGAACCGCATTTGAAGTCGAACTCCCCCACCATCCATGTACCTCTCGGACACTTCAAGACGAATGTGCGCGGCTCGAAGACGAGACCTACACACATGAAGCATGCCCCTCCAGTTGTAGCTGGTGCAAACTTGTAAGTTCGGGGACATATATATATATATGCACATACATAGGTGTGTGTGTATCTATATATATATATATATATATATATATATATATGGGGCGTCTCTTGGGAAGTCTCTCGGAAGCCAGCCCAGGGCTTTCGAGGAGGCGTCTAGATGTCTGTGGATGCCTCTTGGTGGTGCTTGGAGGGCCCGCTGTGGGCCTCCTGGAGGCACCCAGGGCCGTCTTGGAGTTTCCTGCTCGGGGCATCCTGGGCGGGGGGGGGGCCAGGTGAGGAGGCCTCGGGTCTGGAGATGTGAGGTCGAGTTGTCTCTCCCGCAGCCTTTCAGGGACCACCTTGGGGCATTCTTGGCCTACCTTGGGGCCGTTTTGGGAGCCTCATGGGTCGGCGTGAAGCGATCGCGGAGGCCTCTGGGGAAGCCATCGACGGCGCTCCGCGCGCAGAAGCCAAAAAGTAATGAAGACGCACGCTTCCTGAGGGGACGCAGCGGATCTCGCCTCGCGGGGGTCTGGTTGGAAGCGTTTGGAAGGCCCCGGAAGGCCTTGGCCACCTGCGGTCGTCGTCGGACGCTTCTGGGATGCGTCTGGGGCCACCAGAGGGCCTTCGTGAAGCGTGCGGCCACCTGCCGAACCGCTTCGGGCTCGGTGGCGACATTCGGCAGGGACCCCTCCCAGAGGGCGTCCAGGGGGTCCCTGGGGTCGGCGGCAGGGGGGGTCCGAGCAACGACGGGAAGATACTGGAGAACCACTTGCTCCTCCTCCTCCTCCTCCTCCTCCTCCTCCTCCTCCTCCTCCTCTTATTATTCTTCTTCTTCTTTTTCTTATTATTCTTCTTCTGCTTCTTCTTCTTATTCTTCTTCTTCTTCCTCTTCTTCCTCTTCTTCCTCTTCTTCCTCTTCTTCCTCCTCCTCCTCCTCCTCCTCCTCCTCCTCTTCCTCCTCCTCCTTCATCCGATGACTCCCAGCGACAATCACGTTCTCGGACAACTCGTGGAACACATTATGGCTGCGGCCGTGAAACACCCTTTCCTCGGGCTGGCGGCGTCAGTCACGTTCCCGCAGGCTTTTCTGGGAACGCGATGTTTGCGGCCGTGTCGGGGCCCCCTTGGAGGCCTCTGTAAGGCCCTGCGGGATGTCGAGGCTCAGTAACTGAGCCTCGACATGTTGGGCCCCCCCCCAACTGTTTGGGGGGCCGTCTTGTGAAGTGTCTTGGCCGCCTCCTGGGCTCGTTTAGCGTTTCGAGGTTCCCTTGGGGAGGCCGTTGTGGGGCATCCTGGGCCAGATTGGTCGTCTCGTGGGCCGCCTTGTCGCCCTATTGGGATGCTTTTGTTGCAATCCCGGGAGCGTCGTGGGCAGCGTTGGAGTAACGGCAAGCAGCGCCACAACAACGGGGAAAATGTCGAACAACTCCTGGTCCGATGACTGCTGGCGACAATCACGTTCCCGGAAAACTCTCCAAGAACCTGATGGCTGCGGCCGTGCAAGGGGCCCTCGCGGAGGCCTCCGTCGGCCCTTGACAGGGTGTTAGGGCTTATTTTGGGGGGCACTGTGGGGCTCGGCTCCTTGGCCGCGCGTTCGGGTGCCCTCTTGGGCTGTGTTGGGGCTCTCTTGCGCGCCCTTTTTTGCCGTCGAAGTGGGGCGGGCGAGGTATCAAATGGAACAACGCTGGATGAAAAAAAAAGGCGATATCATGGCAAACGTTGTGCCAGGTATCGCCATGCAGCGTCATGCAGAAAAACCTTCACCCGAACCTGCTTTAAACAAAACTGGGTGTCGGGTGCGACGGAAAGAGTTGGATGGCGGAGAGACGGGCGTGACCAGAACCCTGGAGAGGGTGCGTCGAAGGTCGCGACTATGAGCTGACGGCCATGGGCCGAAGCGGGAGATGGCAGCGAGACCAGCCAGAGGCCACACCGAAGAAATGAATATTGCCTTGCGTCAGAGTGAGTGACGGAAGGTCAGCGCGACCAACACCCTGGAGAGCGGGCGTCGGAAGCTCGTGGCTATAAGATGAAGAGGGAATTCGGCGTTGCCAGGTGTCGGACACGGGCCGAAGATGACAACGCGGCCAGCGAGGCCGCGCTAAAAACGGGAAACAACGCCTTGCGCCGAATGCGTCCGCAAACCGCCAGCCCCTCACGTCGCAGGAGCAGTGCCTCTTTGACGACTGCCTGTTGACGCGCTCTGTGCGCCAGCAGACCGCGCTGCGCCGGCGCAGCCTGCGCCCTGCCTGCCGGCATGCCGCCGCCGCCTCCGACCTACGAGCGGCGTGCCCCCGCCTCCGCCCTACAAGCACGACGGCGCGCTGCCCGAGAGGGAGCTCTGCGTCCGGGTCCCCCACCCGAACGATGCGCTCCTGGGCGATGCCGGCTTCACTGGCGCGGTGGGCTCCGTGGCCTCCGCGGCGGTGCGCCCCTGGGACTCAGGGGGGACCTCTTCTTCCTGCGGAGCGCCAGCACCGCCGCCCCCGCCCAGCTCCCCCGCTCGCCCGCCTCCGTCCGAGCCTCGGCGGCACTGCCATTCGCGGGGCACCGGGGGGGCGGCCTGGAGGCGTCGCGCTCCTCCTCCTGCGCGACAGGAGGGCGAGACTGCAGGACGCCATGCTTGAGGTCGACGATGGAGAACTTGAAAGACGGGCTCGCACTCTGTTCGCCACTGCGCAAGAGGGCCATGTTGCGCTGAAGCGACATCGCGCGCAGCGGCCTTGCCCGTCGCCGGACAGGGAACACGCGGGCACTGCTTGGGGGCGAGCTTGAGACCTCAGCAGACCATCGGAAGCGAAAAGGCGAGAAGGCAAACCCATCAACCTCGCATTGGCCACTGGTTCTGCAGGCTCTGCCTCCTAGGAGGCGTCCTGGAGGGTCTCCCGGGGCCGTCGGGGGGCTGTCTGGAGCGCCGTCTCCGCAGGCGTCCGCAGACGCTGGACGCCTTCTGACCACCCTGGAGGCCGCCTCTGGAGGCCGCCTCGGGGCCGCCCGGACCCGCCTGGAGGAGGAGGAGGAGGAGGAGGAGGAGGAGGAGGAGGAGGAGGAGGAGAAAGGAGGAGGAGGGGGGAGGAGGAGGAGGAGGAGGACGAGAAGGAGGAGGAGGAGGACGAGGAGGCAGCAGCTGGGGCCCCCGAAGGGCGACGCCCGCAGCTCCGGACACGCACGCCTCTGCGGCCGAGGCCGCGGCCCGGACGCCCCGACGCCCCCGGGGGGCCCGGTCGCCTGGAGGTGCCACCTCCTCCTCCTCCTGTTGCTCCTCTTGCTCCTCCTCCTCCTCCTCCTCCTCCTCCTCCTCCTCCTCCTCCTCCTCCTCCTCCTCCTCCTTCCTCCTCCTCCTCCTCCTTCCTCCTCCTCCTCCTCCTGTTCCTCCTCCTCCTGCCCCTCCTCCCCTCCTCCTTCCTCCTCCTCTCCTCCTCCTCCTCCTCCTCCTCCCCCTCCTCCTCCTCCTCTCCTCCTCCTCCCTCCTCCTCCTCCTCCTCCTCCTCCTCCTCCTCCTCCTCCTCCTCCTCCTCTGTGCACAGGTGTGGTTCCACATGTGAGTTGCGCTGGAGGTTCTAGATAAGGATACCTTCGATAAGGACCCGTCCCGCGGCCGATGGGCGGCCAAGCGAGGGCCACCCACCTCGCCCTGAAGCAAGGAATGCGCCAGGGTCTTGGTCCAAGGAAGGAGTTCCTTATCCAATGCCGCCGCCGTACTTGTTTCCACTCTGCTGCACCAGTCTTGACTGCATCTCACCTTGCACTACAGATCTGCCAGGAGGAGCATCGCTCATGCACGGGCCTTCGGAGAGAGAATGCGCCCAACAAGGCTTCAGTCATGAAGCTCGACAGTGCCAGGGAACCTGGAGTGGGGCTTATTCAGGAGGCTCTGGGAGCCTTGTTGGCGGGAAGAGAGCAGGAAGAGAGCTCGGGTAACCAACAAGATGCCTGATGTCTCGGTGATCAGGGCGTCCTCAGCCTCCAGGGCGACTGCGAGGCCATAGGCAACTATGTCGTGGGGAGGGCGAGCGCATCTTCTGATTCACCTCGAAGCCCCAGAGGAAGATTTACCTCGAAATACCCCATCCGACCAACAAATACAATTCGAATGTAAAAGCTGGAGAGCCCTGGGCTTCATGTACACCCCCTGCAGATCATGAAAATCTAAACACAAATTCACTAGCCTGTCAGCCTCTACGTTTTGGTCCCTCGGTCTCCACTCTATCGGGTTCACCTGGTCCTGCCCTGGAAGGTGGCCCAAGCAAACCAACAAGGCCAGCAACTCCGACTGGGACCGCAAATCGTCGGCGCACCTGTCCATTTTGGCCTTCCCGAATCCCGCGTCCGCCACGACCTCCCAATCGACTATGACTTTGAACCGGGTAAAGGCAGGGGGAGACCCCCAAACCAAGTCACTGTCCAGGATCGCGGGCGACAGATCGTAACACATCTGCGAGCCCCGATCTTGAAGAGAAGGCGAGGCGGAACGTCTCTGGAGAGCCGGCGCCGCACCGCCCAAAAGTTGAATGCCTAAGGCGATCCAGACTCGACAAATTTCGTCTC